CCTCTCATCTTCATATCGTCATCGGTAACCGAGAATCTCTTTTAGAACATTCTTAACTTATAGAACATTCTTAAAATCTCTTATAGAACATTCTTAACCCCACTAAAGAATGGAGCAAGTGAATATGCTATTAATTGTTCATTATTCTATCCACGTGAATGCAATAAAATTATTAAATAAGTATCGTTCTCTTTCTGCCGCCACAACCAACCGGATGTAATCTGAATGTGATTTTGAATCAGACAAAGGCAAACAGCAGTTCGGAACGTCTGCAGAAGTAATTTTCAGTGTGAATCGTTACGAATCAATTGATTCCCTTCAAATGAGTCTCATTCTCATGTGCATCAAATTGAGATTGTTTTATTGTGACAATATTGACCTCTTGAATATCATCACTTGACAATGATTTTGAAGTTTTATCTCGTTTAATTTTCCAGAATCCTCAAATGGAATCGTCAGAATCGGTTTCGTTGAAGTATTCACGAAGTAAAATATTCGTTCCTCATCTGTTTGCTATTGTTGTTATAGTATATTATAGTTGCTCTTCGTTTAGTAACATTATGGCTGATATTCATTATTTCACACTAGCAGTAGCAGCAGCAGCTAACTTAGTTCTATTTTTAGTAAGATGAGGCAATAGGCGTGCCGTGCCTATTTCTATCCTTAGCCTTTTCTGTGTTCATTTCATTTGAATATAAGACATCACGTCATCTATCCTCATTGTTAAGACATCGTCATCAGTTCAAATGGAAGAATGTACAGCAGCACGAACGATAATCAGCAATATTAGATAGATGTATTTATCTAAATTTTATGATGCATCTTCGATTATTCGTCTCCTCTTTGATGCTAAAACTCTGCGAAACGGACTGTTTCGTTGAAATGGCGATGGATATTGTCCACAAATTTAAATGAGCGATCCGAAAAGAACATCTCACGTTTGCTCGTCGAAATTTTATAAAGCATTTCACTCCATAAAGTAAAGTGAAATGTTTTTCTTTGCGAAGATCTTAACGCATTCAAGCCGCGATCATTCGACTACAATTTTCTGAGTAAAAACACCTGTTTAGTTTCAACATATTACCATCAGTTTGATGTTTATTTGAATTTTCCCGTTGAACTGGCACTATTTTTCAACGTAACCTGGCATTTTAACATGACTTTGATTTCAAATTGTTTTCGCCTTCAAACATCAATGCAGAAAACCATCCAAATTGTCATTATTGCGCTGTTTCACCGAGCTTTTTCCCAAACTCCTCATGTAATTACCTAGTGACAGACTTATTACGGGCCACTAACATATGCACAACTCAAGCGGAAGGGTTTAAGGTGGTTGTGCACTGTTACCAGTTGTAGGCTCATAATGGCAATGCTCCCTTTGAATTTCAGTGTGTACAGTAAGAGTCTTGCATGCTAAATTCTGATTGGGTGTTGTGTGCTCGAGCAGAACACACTGATGGGTGGGTGGATCGTCTCGTCGCGTTGATACGGTATTATTCTGCTTCTTTTGCATGTTTGCGGTCGAAATTTTGAGATAGTTTTCTGGGTGAAAATTTTGTTTATTTGAATGTAAAAAAGTTTTATGAGGATACTATCATAATTACGATGTTAATGATATCGAATTGATCAGAAATATTCATTTTTTCGAAGTGAATCTTCGTAAAATTTTATTAGAAGTGTAGTGTGTACCTTGATAACTTTTTTATTGTGCAAACTGAATGAACTTTTGATTGTGGAATAGTTGTAACTTTTTTTAACATTACAGTATTAATTTACTTTGTACATCGGCAGTCATCGTATATTCATTAATTGAGTATGAAAAATTGTGATGTTCGAAGAGGATTGGTTATTTGATTGTATTGTACAATTAAGTCAAAAATTATCACACTTCTTTGAAGCTATTCATTATTCGGTTTTATTGCTCTTTGATCGTGAAGTGGAATTTGTGTTTTTGTTGCGTTTTTTGCGGGGTTGATTGCGCTCGAATGATGTTTGCGATCTTATTTGTTGTTTGTAATATTATGATGGGCTTTGCTTCGCTGCGGTCCGGTTCCACTGATGTTGGTGGTTATAAAAGTGAATGATTCTCTTTTATTTCGCTCAGAAGATGTTTGGGTTGTCACTGTCCTTTTTCAGATATCGTCTCCCTCTCTAAAACATTTCATTTGAAAGCAGCATTTTGTCGTTGAGTGATATCACTTTGCAAATTTGATATTCATTTTCCATTCCATATGCTCATAAAATTTTCAACGTCCAAATTGATGGACGTTCCGTTCCCTCTTCGTACATTTCAACTTGCGTACCAAATTTCACGATAGTGAGCAATGAATTGCACCAATTCCGTTGAGTTGTTTCTTCATAAAATAAGTCAGCTCTCTCACCGGATGCGTTCATTGCTGGTATCATTGCTTCCATCTCCTAAAATCTCACTTCTTCTATGACCTAACCATCATACTCTTCCTGGGACCATTTTACGCCTTTCCCCGTCATACAAAGAGATCCTAGCATTCACCATGAATTCGCATCATGTTTCTTGATCGAATCTTCATCTCATCACGCTGCGACAGCAGAACGCAATAGTACGAGAGGCTGTTGTCGGTCGGTAGTTTGAAGTGAATGCATTAAAACGGTAGTTGTATGCTTTATGACATAATTGGACAGATGTTATATTAAGATGTATGTTTGAGTGAATAACCTACTGCAAACACCTCTTAATCGACGCCTTGTATTCATTATATTTCACTGATACATGCATGAAACGTTGAGGCAAAGTAGAATTCGAAATAGTAGTTTATTTTTGTGGGTGGATGATGTTTGTGTGACAGGCAGCGGCGGCAAATTAGCGTTAGTTTATAAAGTTGTGAAGTAAAAGGAGAATATATTGGAAGTGAATCGAATAATCAATCAATGGAAGACAACGTTCTTCGGTCGTTTATTCGCTTGCTGATGATGTCATATGACGTGTGCTTGAATTGAATCGATGTTTATGATAAAAGTCGAGAAGGAGCGCAGAGAGGTTTGTGTTGCTGCTGCTGCTGCTGCTGCCTGCTGCTGCTGCAGTAGTTGCCTAACAACTGCGACAAGGAAGGATAGATACCTCATCCGAAGCATACTGATAATGATATGAGTATTATATTGACGAGACAAATAAAGCACTGGCTGATGAGAAATGATTAATTAACACATTTCGGCTTGTTGATGAGAGAAGGTAAAGCTTTTTGAATACGCTTATGAGTCATGGGGCATAGGATCGTTGATTGATTCGACGAGTCTACTTGAATAATCCGCTACGAAGTTGTTTGTAAAAAAAAATTCAGGCAATGACCGTTATTAAATAGTGTTTGGATAGTAATTATTAAGAGTTTTTGAACAGAACGATTTTTAATGAGTTGTTTATTTTTAAGCGTTTACATTTCCTTTTAGCAAGCGTTCACATGTGCACCTGTAATTATATGCTTGTTTGTGTTTGGTTGTGCCGAAATTATTTGTTATGAATGCAGTCGAATTGCGTTGTTTTTTTTTTGTTGGAGATGTTTGACACGGCTATGAGGACGGCTTTCAAGACGTGCTCATAGCCGTGTCAAACAAATCTTCGATTCATTTGACTCTTGCTAGGACGTATAAAGAGAGTAGCACATTGCTTTCATCAGTGTATAACAGTGATTCCAGAATCATTGCATGACGATGCTCTCTGTTCTTTGCTCACTTATGTGTCTTTTGTTCAGTTTAAGCGTTCACGAGTGCTACAAACGTTTTCGCAAGCAACATTTTTTCATTTGAGCGCTTCGTGTCTTTCTTGGATAGTCTTTCATTCCTTAAATATTTGTGTAATGAATCCAAAAATACATCCACAACTTTTTATCCAATTATGTGTTCTTGGCGCAGAGCATATGAACATTATCCTCTCATCCGTTCAGAGCAATCAATAACGAGATTACATCCATTATGAATTTGTTTCGTGATTCATTCCAATTTCATGATGATCATTAACGATCTATGTGCTAAGAATATGTTAACAATTTACTAATGCACCTTCCACCTACACATTCTATGAGGCAATTTGAATTTTTAGCAGAACAATCTCTCGTTATGCTGCAGTAATTTCCGTTGTGTTTTAGTGTTTGACTTGAATTGTTATTTGAAGTGTAGCATTTGTTAGGCTCTAGATCGTGCATTTTTAATGATATCCGTGAGGAGATAACAGAAGATTGAATCAGGTAAAAAGAACTTATTATTCATTCATTGTTTGCAAATATAGTCGAGAGCAGAACGAAGCTCATTCATTTGTGATTCAATTTGCGATGGTCCCCCTTCCATACCTTGTGGGCGAAACTTGTTTATGAGCAAACAGTCCGAGTTGTTATTCAAAGTTTTATGATCATCTGTGATCAATCCTAATTGTTCCGAGTTATTCTCTGCATCTGATTTTTGAAGCGTCTCGTCTCGCTGAATGCTACTTCAGAATGTTGAATGCAGCTATCAGTTGCAAGTAGGTGCTTTCCTCATTTCATTGATTTTAGCATTTGCATCTGTTTGAAAGCTGTGATCCGCCGATTATATCTGAAATATTCCTTGCATACGATGTGTATGTGCTTCTTCTATACGGCGTCATCAAGTAATCGAGAAGAGATTTTAATTTGTGTTATTGTTAATAATCAAGTGATTTATCGCGATGATGTGATCGTCATTATAGTGATATTGTTTTCTTCATCTCAATCGAATCATCTCGTAATATTGTTCGTAACTCACCTCTCACTCATGTGAATGTCATGTGTAATGAGCGTGAGGAGTTGCCTATGCACTCGTTTCATTTATCACATCTTAAGACACACCCAAGCAAACTCACTTTTACCTCATTCATTTAATACTTTGCAACCAACTTTTAGTTGGCAATTCAGAATGGGAGGGAGAGGTTTTCTTTTGTAATGAAGTGGAATGGATAGCATATAGGTTGTTGAAGGGGATATGATAGCTTGGAGTAATGTTTTGCATGTTTCAGTTGTGATGTACAGCAGTTGTTATTGGCAAACAACGGAGTTGTGCATGCCGAGAAAAATATCAGCGATACGGTACCGATGAGTACCGACTGTAATGTTACGGTGGCAAGTGCCTCCACAACAACAACAACAACATTCCTTCAAAATAACAACACCAGGAGTAGTAGTCACTCGACACGTCGATCATCTGACACCAGTAAACAATGCCCTATAAAGGTGAGCAGTATTCACTCGATTCATCTCCGGTTCACTTCATTGCTAACTAATAGGATGTTTATATTTGCTTATTTTGTGCCGTTCTTATCGATGTTCTCCACTTGATGTCATGAACGTTTATCATGTCGATGTCGTCGCCACTAATAACTTATCCATTGACTATTCGTTTCTTTTTCAGTAGTGCTGCTTTCCGTCCGTAGTTTTTGAGCCGAATCAGTGACGTTCTCTTGCCTTATACCTTGTAGTGCTCACGTCATTTGTTGAACATTATCACTGTATGTCGTATGGTTGCTGCCTGACGAACTCCATAAACAATCAAACGTTCTCGAAAATGCAATTCTCATCCCGTCAACGAATACCTCCGTTAAAAATATTGACCACTTCACAAGTGCACACTAGTAAAGTCCACGAGCACAGAACATAATATGTCTGGTTGTTATATGCTCCTTCAAATGCTCCAAAACCCGGAATCATTCAGCAGCAGATATTTTTTTATCGCGCATCGTTGTCATAAGCCAGAATACTACGACAAGTTTTTTGCTTATTGCCATTCATCCATGGGTCTGTCTTATGCTCACCGAACATTTTCGTGTTGCGAGATAATGTTAAATACTCGAGCAGCACCAGTCTATGCATTTGACTTTTGTAACATTTTAGCTGAATTCCTTTCAATATTGCTAATGGCATCAAAAGCAGCAATTTTCCATGATTGATTGCAAGCAATTATCAGAGTACATCGATAATCACTTCATTATTTTGAAGGCATTCGTCTTGAAAGTGATTCACGAAGCGGTCGGTTAATTTTGATACCGTTTTAATTGCGAATTGTTTGTCGTCGACTTGTCTGAACCGTATTTGTGATTGTCTCGAAAACATCTGCCCGCTCGCTTACGATCATTCTATCAATGTTCACGAAGCATTTTTTCGCCTTTTTTATATTCCCTTGATTTGTTTCCATAACTCCTGTAGTCTTTGAAATTTTTTCCAAGAAATCAAAAAGTGAATTGAACTTTGGGCAAATAAGAGTTCAAACATGAAATAAATGTAATTTCATGTTTGAACTCTTATTTGAACGTCGTACCAATTTTTACATTGATTTCCTTAATATGATATTCCAGTCTTGCAAGAAACGTGATAGCAGTGATAATAGATTTGTTATCAATTATCACGATAATGCTCTCTTTCATTTTGTCTTTTTCTAGATCTATCGACGTATTAATTCAACAACGTCAGCATCTCCTTTTATTGCTCCCTAGGAAGCTCGTTATCTTGAAGATGTTTGTTACATCATCATTGTACGATCATTTAGTGAATTTTTTATGTTTTCGTCGGATTTGTTTGCTCATTTATTGGGTGTGCGGCATGGTTTTTTATTTTATTGGTTGGAGTGTTGTTTATAATCCGATAGCGATTTTGATGTCATCCTTAAAGATTATTTTTATTTCGAAATGATACAGTCGTTGTGTTTATTGTACTTGGTTTTCTGATAGTGATCAAAGCTTAGTGGCGAAGAGCCATAATGTCTGCGAGGTACAGCCATTGTTTTGTGATCGTTAGAAATTGTTTATCAGCGTTCATCGTGCGATTCATTCATTTTATTTAACACTCCAGCAAAACATTATTATATTATAATCCAGTTAATAGCAAGTTCGTCATGTCGATTGCTGTTGTCATTACTGTTCATGTTATTATTATTGTTACCATCACTGTGCTTGTTGAGCAACTTCTAAAAGCCAGTTTTACGAACGATTCGAAATGCTTCAGTTCTCAATAAATGTGTGACGATCACAGCAAATGATTCATGTTGCAGTCTTCATCCTTAAACCCTTCCGAGGCTGTCCATTTCACTTTCATATATCCTACACGCACCACCATTTCGCTTCATTAATCATCCCACATCTCCTTTCATACTATTCAAAAGTCGGCGTATTCCTCACGTCAGCGACCTTCAAATTGTGAAACGTTAATTATAAAAAGATTTCCATCTCGATTTTTTAGAATGCATTCGTAATATCCTCATTGAGTTTTGTTTGAACACTGCCCTCTCTTCCTAACCGCTCCTCTTCAAATACACTCCTTTCATATGATCACGGCTGATGATTCCTTGGAGTAGCTGCATGTATGTTTTCATTATCAATCAACTAACATGATAATTTTTGCAGACAAACCTGGCTGTTGCTCAGATCTCGCCATATCCTAGCGTGAAGCAACAACGCTCGTCATCGAACCCGTCGCCTAAGCCAATCTACGATGTCTTTTTGGGTGGTAGTTGTGGTAATACTGTTTGGAGGCGAGATCAGGTAAGAATTATCGTTTCTACTTGATGACGTTCATCATATTTTTAGATGCATTAGGTCATTACGTTCATGTGTTATCAATTTGTGTTAGTTTATCAGCATTAAAATAAGCCATTCAAAGAAAAAAGAAATGGATGATGATTTGCTGCTGCTGCTGATAAATAATTCTTTTAGCAGCACTTTAAGACAGCAAAAACCTATTTCCTGATAGAAGTGTGATCGATAATTTTTATGATAAGTCACAGTGGGTGTGTTGAAAGTTTTTACGAGGAGGTGTTAAATGGAAAATGTCGTTGTTGCTAACACAAATCTGCGACGTAGCTTTGCGTAGATGAAAGAAATAGCATGTTTATGATTGCTCGACTTGCTACTTTTTGAATTTGTGCGATTAATTGGAAAAGAATTGATGAGATATTGACTGAACGTCGTATCAGTTGTTCAGCGAGGTGTTTTTATCTAGCGGATTGATGTCGGTGTTTCTTTATTTTTATTTCCTAAAATGCGTTCGCGAATTTAAAGTAATTGATGATGAATTCCACCCGGAATGATTGAAACAATTAATTGCGTATGATGTCATGCATTCCCTTCGAAGACGAGATTTTTGATCACTCTTCTTCTCTTAATCAGACCATTGAAACGTTCAACTAACTCATGTATCTACACCAAGAATTGAACTAATTTGAACCGTAGCACTCTTGCAAACTGATATCACATTGTGTATAGTACGATGACTATTGAAATGTAATAGGTGATATCCAATAATAACAATCCACTTACCTCTCTACTGATTTTTTTTTTGGAATCGAATTTACTCTAATCTCAAGAAAATAAGAATGAAGTCTTGTGGGCAATTGTTTACGTGTGGAAATTATTTTCTAGAATGATTGCGTGTCTTTTCGAAATAAACTTCACGTAGAAGGTAGTATTACATTGGATGGTTACAACTAGTGGTGTGTAAGAAGAGAAGACTGAAAGAATTTCACTTGATAGGTGATACCGTATTTGGAGAAACGAGCAATAACCTATTACGATCCACAACGGAGCGTTTGGAACGAACATATGATCAACGAAGAAAGCGTCGCCAAAGAGGTTGATTAATCAATCGGAATCCATCTTGTTTCATGATGTTCTTCCTTTTTTTCACACTCAGTTGCAAGAGCCGTAATTTTTGATTGTTGATCGAGTTGAATACTTTGTTTGAAGCAAAATTGATTCGTAGTTAAGCACCGATTGCTTATTTGATTATCTGTTCACTTCATTGAATTCAGGAGAATGACTTGCGTTTAAGGAAGTAAATTTGTACGTTCGAAAGATATCAAACAATACGTGTTGTTTGTGATCGGCATCGAACCATGATGCCATCACAAATAATCGCTCATTATCTTATTTCATGAATGAAGTGTTCTTTAATGTTCACCATCTGAAAATGACATCTATTCCTTATTGCACGTCCTAATTATAAAAAATGTCTTCTTTTTTCAGAATTCAAGCTTGTTCTTGTTCGTACTCGATCCGGCAACTGTGAACGCGACATCGTTTCTTGAGATAGCGCATTTCGCCGCTCGCAAGGCACCCAAACTTGTGGTGGTTTTCCTCGGTCGTTCAGAGTGGCGGGATCGGGGTCATCCACACGATCTTCCCGATAGGCGGAGAACGTGTGATTTACTAGATGCCATTCTCGCTATGCATGATGTTCCTGTACTTCAGTCCATTCAGGTAATTCACTTGTATATATCACTGGTAAATGTGCTTTATAGCATACAATTTGTACTCTGATTTATGAAAATACTTTGAATGTAGGTGATGGAATTTCAGGAGGCATTAAGCTATATAGATGAAGTAATAATCGGTGAGAAGAGTTGGTCAGAGGCGTTGTGGAACCCATTTCAAAGATTGCCTTATATGATGCTCACGGGACGACGTGCTCTGCGGCAGTCGGTTCATCATGTGCGAAGTGCGTGGCGAACCGTTGCAAATGGCGTGATTCGTTGGAAGGGTACTAAATATTTACTTATAGGTTCGTTGGCATTGTTTAAAGCATTTCAGTGAATTTCTTCTTTAGTTACTGATCATTTGATTTTTGAAATTCAAGAACAACTTTGAAAAGCATTCGATTTTGTAATTTTGATCCAGAAATGAAGTGAAATTAAGCACTTCATTACTCGGATCTTTATTTTATTATATTACCTTTATTTCCATGGATGATTAGAACGGCGTGTTTCGTATAGTTTTTTGATGAGTTTAAGTAACTGTATATTATTCCAGGTGCATGTGAAATGTTATTTGTATTGGCAATGCATTTATTTGTGCAAAGCCTTCCATTAGTATTACTGGTATTACCGCTGCTGGCATTAGATGCTCTTTTTGGTTTATTTTCGTTGATCTGTTGGAGGTATAGATCGTTGAGTGCAGCGAAACGTCGTGCACAGTTGCTCGAGCAGCGAGCTCTGGCACGATCCCCAGCAGTGCCCATCCCAGGGCGTGCTTTTGTGCCTTGCGATATCATCGCCCAACATATTCCGCTCAATTGTTCCAAATGTAATGCCAAATCACTGTCATCATCTAATCACAACTCCATTTCTGCACAATGTACGTTCCTNATTGGGTTTTATGGTGTGTTGAAGTTTCGGGTAACAGCAATAGATGAATGAATGACTAAACATTGATGATATGCAAATTGTAGTGTTAAATACCCGATCGTATGATAGCAATGATGTGGCAAGTCCGTTAAGATGGATGATGAACTCGACTGCCTATGATATATTTCTTGGTTGTAGTTCCACAAAAAGCACTGATCTCGAGTGGATCACTCAAACTGCCGCACCGCAATTACAGTATGTAATATTGCCAGCATTTCTTGTTTTTTTTTTCTTGAGCGACACATAATGTCGACGTTACACTGAATCTCATCTCGTTGATGAAACACACTGCTAATAATTTATCGGAGGGTCGACGACTTGTTGAATTGTGATTTCGAATTGTTTCAGTAAGAAAGGCATATCGTATTGTTCAGAGTTGATGATTGAAAGACAAAAACGATTACCAACACTCGATATGACAAAACGAATTTTATACCACATCCCTTCCTGTGAAACAATTCTTTCGGGTATGGTCGAGGTTTGTTTTAAATTCATCATTCTGGGCACTTGCTGTTCATCCGTAACGTTTAGCCATGAGATTGGCCTGACTTATGAAAAGAATGGAACCAGCAAATGGGGTATCCAAGGTGGATGTTTGAGTGATGAACATTCCATTCAGGTTGCATATTTTTTGGGTCATACAAATTGGAGTGTAACATTATGCGTACCAAAGCGAGCAAAAATGCTTGATTCGTCATGTGTGAATGGTGATGAGGAAATGAAAAGAAACATTGAAAGGCGTAATGAATGTTATCGAATGGCGTTTTGTTATCTCAGGGATATGGCTGAAAGGAGGCACTGTGAGGTAAATGAACAATGCTCATTTTTATTTGTGCCATACCTAAACATTCACTGTTTTTCATGATATTTTTTCAACATTGCCTTCTCAACTATAGTATTTTTAGGTGTTCACACATTTGGACGATGCTCTTCAGTATGTTATCTCATGTTCAAAAGACTAACTCAGTACATATATAAATTGACATTTTGTTTAATCGATTCACTCGTTTATTGTATCAATGCAGTTTTAGTGCTCTATTTATAATACGATCATCATCGTATAAAATTGTATATTGTCGTCATCATCTCGACATTGATTGCTTCATTCAATCAAATTACTTCTTGAAAATTCATTCAGTAATTTGTTTTTATTCATTTGTATTTTCATTCTCGTCATTCGTTGCTCATTTTGTTATGTTTATGTTTTTTGATATTTGTAACATTCAGGGAATTATACGTCTCGGTCGTTATTTACATTTTTCGGAAGTTTACTTTCGATTGTCGATTTCAGAAATTGAAACATTCACATGATAAGACTGATAAATAAGTAGAAAGTGAATTTCGTTCTGAGGTGCGATTTATCGATGTTAGATCGCTTAACAACGCCGATTACTTCTCGTTATCTTTTATTCAGCACAACAGTTTTGTAGCAGTCTTTTCTGATCAATGGACTGCGAGTATATTTGAGAAGTACGTCGATGCGTTTGAATGACTTGAGCGTGAGGCGTTTAAATCCAATACTTCATTTGGAGTATGGCCTCGGTGATATTATTCTGTATTGTATCTTTCTGAAATGTTTTCATACGTACGCAACATAATACACAGTAGCAAGCATAATAGAACATTGCCATTGTTGGAAGTGGATGTTGGGTGATGAATATCATTCACTTTTGATGTTTTTGTTGACTTTTTAGTCGGAGTGTTGCATTTTGAGTGCTTCTCATAGTTTAGACCCAATAGATTAGGACCTTCTGTTAATATTCTGTTGAACTTGAATGGATCCAAATGGGATTTTGAATTGTGATATAGTGGAGCGATGAGTTATTAAATTGCTTGTTATTAGTTTATGTTACGTGATCATGTACAAAATGTATTATCATCAAATGTAGATGATAACGATGATGAAGAGTAAGCAATAATTGTTTTAAAAGTGCATGTATATATTTGCAGTTGGTTAGTTGATTGTAATCATTGTGTGCCGTTTCGTTTGATTGACTTTGTTTTCATTCGTGATGCATTTCTAGGATTGATTAATTTATTGATCTTCTTTTGTTTTTCTATCGACTGAGAACAGTACGTGTAACGCTTTCAGAACATTTCAGTTGAAGTTGAGAATCTTCGGAAGGTTAAGAAATCTTAGAAGTGGATATGGAATGAGGTGATTTCTCTGAGCGATATTTTTAAAAGTTGAGTGAACGATTATCTCTGAACGATTAATCATCCGATACAGCATCCAGATAGTTTTGATCAGAAGTTGAGTTCAGTTCGGTACTTCTCTTGAAAGCGTTATATTGTTTCATCTGAAGAGGTTCTGTTCGGGCAAATTTCATTGTGAAACTGCTGTAGAGTGTTGCTCGTGTTTTTGTCTTATGATCAGTCTAGTCATTTTCGTGTTAGCTTATCAGTAACACAATCGTTTTAGTAATAACTTTAAAATACCGTTATTTTGCAAGCTTTTGTAAGTTTCAAAAGTCCGAAGAAATTCGATCTTTTTTCGTTAAAATAAAATTATTCGAAGTGTGAAATTGTTGCTGACAGTGAGAGTGTGGTACGAATGCTAGGGATTTGAGGAAATTGCAAGTGGGTGATCTTATTGATGTGTTGATTATGTTTACAATTAATAAGCGATTCATGCAACAGCTCATTTACACTGTTCGAGTATTATTTCAATTTCTGATGATTTCAATGTTTTCGTTNATGAAGCGATCGTAACGCTTCAGCGTAGCTTTTTTTGGTGGTGGTTGTTTGTTGACTGTTGATTTCTCGGCGAGCGGTCAATATTGTGATCACCTAGTTTGATTTCGTTTGAATGTATTGATAGATTTCGTTGTAGTTAAAGAATGAAATGGAAAGTGGTATTGAAGCATCACCCACCCAGTATTGCCACCTCGGATTTGACGTTACCACTTTCTGTGGTATATTATTGTGAAGTTATTTTATGTTGTGATCCTTGTTTTCAATACATCTGTTTGTCTAACGTTTTCGTTTACTTTTACTTATTCGGGAAGGTTGTCATCATCGAAATCAACTTATATTAAGTCGGTCACTATCTTTATCAAACGGACACTTGCATGATCATTCGAAAATAGTTTCTTTCCATTGCTGGTTATCTTGAAATTTTCGAATTGAGAGCATATTTCAGTAAGGAATCAGGTGATGATCAATCAACGTTATAACGATATGCTTTGATGATGCGCTTTCATTATGAATAAATGCGTTGATATTCAAGTATTCAAGAATGCACCTCATCGTCCGCAGAGCTTTAGCTATCTTCTACAGTGAATGTTGTATGTTATGTTATTGATGACGCAACAAACAGTATGATGATCACATTTGATTTGTTCATAAACATTCTTTTGTTCTGTTGTCTCATTCGAAAAACATTCGAATCGAATCTTACTAACAATAAGGCCATAGAAATAATCTACTTTAACTCACTTCTATGTGTTCCATTCCCGCAGATAGAATGAAAGTTTTAATGGTTCAAAATTTCGATGTCAATTTCTTGTGTTCAGTCAACTCAATAGTTCATAACTTTCAATGCTTTTTAAGAAAAAATTTTCCTTGTATGAAATGCGGAGTTTAATGTTGTAATATATTCATAATACGATTCATTTTGTAATTTGTTTGTTTATTAACTGTAAAAACAGAAATTAAGTTCAATAAATGGATTTTTATCATTCGAATATTGGCTGATTACAAGCATATGTACATTCATCACTAGATAGTGGACTCGAGAGCCAACCAACAATAGCCAAAAAGTAGTAGACTCTCAGTGGATTTCACAAAATCAATGAACTCGACATATTAGATGATTAATCTAGATGACATATTGCTATATTTTCAATTTTGGGTTTAGCAATTCGTTCAACATCAACAAACTCGGAAAGCAAACTTTTTTTTGGAATTAGACGCCTTTAATGAGACCGTTACGGGCTGATCTTCATCTGCCGTTTCGTTCACCTTGTAATGATGGCTCGTGATGCAGTTGATGCGCACTGAAAGTAGCGCATATCAATCGTCACATCTATACACTCGAATGCACGAAACATTTCCGTTAGATATTAACGACGTGCACGTAATATTCGAATGTTTCTTATCAGGTTGCTAACGTAAAGCTTTTTTCCTGTCAACTAAACTGGTTTAAAGTACAAAATTTAAGGATCACTAATGTTTGACAATTTGCGTTCATTTTGTATTGATTGTTAAGAAATGAATTGATCACTGAACAGAACGTTTATAAAATCCAGACGAATACCTTCAACTGAATTGCACGGAACGTTTACGTTATCGAGGGCATTGATTTTTGATCGTTTTGGTTGGTGGTTGTTGGGATGTTGAACGGGAGTTGATAAATGACTGTTGAATAATAGATGAGTGTTTTGAATGTTGAACTTTTTGTTCATAACACTTTTCCTTGAGTCGCTTCTACACCTATTACAACCCTTTATGATTCCAGTCAGTGATATCCTCTATCATCAGTTATCAGCTCATCAAAGTCACACCTCCTGTCTCTTAAGGATTCACCATTTTTAATTCAAACCACTAACGATAGGTGAATAAAATGATTCTCCTTTCATATTTACATTTGTCTATGGCTGTATATTATATATAAATATATAAATATACAAATATATATATATATATATAATATGTGTTTATAAATGTAAATAGGTACAAATATAAATTTATTATCAAATGACGCTTTTTGTTTGCTTGAATGGAAACGTCATATTACGTAAAGCCAGCTGGAGGAAGGACGAAAGAATTTAACAATAGTGCTGTTGCTGTTGGTGTTGTTAGAAGACAAGTTTGTGATGATGCTATACTGAACATGAATACATGTACATATTGCAGAGTGAGAATGAGAATGAGAAATAAGTAGTTTTATCGACAACGGGATAATGGAGAGGAAAAGAATGAGAAATAGATGAGAATGAGATGAGAGGGTGAACGGCTAATATTCGACAACAAAAACGTTACACGTTTTCTTTTGGTTTATCGTCGCCATTATATAAAACGTAAAAAGTGAACGATTGTATTTTGTGGATAATTGCAAACGATTTAATGTTTGCCTCAACACCACGGCTATACTCAGCAAAATCACCGTTCAAAATATTCATCCCTTCTCTTCTCCAGACCAAAGCCAGCTTTTAACAACCCGAAAAGCTGTTTATATCGGAACAATGACTGTCATTATTCTGTTTCATTTCCTTATGTGATGTGTTGACAATCAATGCATTTCCTTGTTGGGATCACATCAAAATGCTAAAACCATCGCTCTTCATACAAGATCGTTCTCACCGTGTAATGCAACAAGTCTTTTAGTTGCTCATTAAAATATTTTGATCACGTAAACGCGCTCTAGCAAACGAATAGTTNGGAACATGAATGAGCCACACCTTGCACCATTAATAATCGTTTAGTGATCGTTGATATTTGAAAATGTTCACGTCCGTTTTCTAATTCAACGATAAGTCGACAATCTCCTTTGATATAACAATGAACGTACGTCCTCTAGTGCATAATCATTGAGCACCTGTTAACTGCTAATATCAGTCATTTGCATGGTGCAATACTTTTTATTTTGTCTTATTCAGAGGTTAAGTTGCTTGATCAATGCAAATATACAAAAGATGCAAAACAGTATTAAATCATCAGCTGTATCACCAACAGTGAAACTTCGTTGGAATTGTTTTGAAGTATCTGTTGAAATGGTTCGTTTTATCGTTATTCACCATTTTATGAATAATGAACCATTCGTTTGGAATGTTGCGTTCAAGATCGCTCAGGACTCTTGATTTCTGAGTGATTGTTCAAAATGAATGTACGCAAATGGTTTAAGTTTATCAAATGAAATTAAGCTCATTGCTTCCGCTTTTTTACTTAAGAATTACCCCAAAAGGCCATTTTTACAGACAGTTCGAATCTTTTCATTAGATGCGTAATGTGAGCGACCCCTATCATGAATATTACATCGTTGAAGTGCACGCTGTTGTTTCAGGGTGATATAACCCAGGTTCATACGGATATGATATTGACAACATGTGATCCGATTATCTCGTGCACCAATGGCGTTGCAAAAGCCATTGTCGAGAAGGGTGGTGAGCGATTGCAGGTGTGTATCTGCACTCTTCATATTCCTAAAGCTCAAAAATCCGAAGTAAAAACTGCTATCGAATAGTGCAGAAAAAATGCATGAAGAGGGTGAGATTGAAGGATGCGATTGACTCGAGAATGGTCAATGAGGTGCGATTGCATTTCGGTGATGTGTTAGTGCTGAATGCGGAATCGTTAAATGCGTGGTGTGTTGCTTTCGTTTGTCCGTCGAGAGGTTCGTTCCGTGATCTCAAAGAAGCTTATTACAATGCTCTCAAAGAAGCGATGTATCTCGGTGCCAAAACCATCGCAATGCCTGGATTTGGAACAGGTCCGTTCATGCTCATTTACTCATGTTACAAATAAAGCGACAATCCCCATCATCATTAGGCTGAATCTGCAAACTTCCTTCGTGAATTGCAGCTGGTTAGTTTCTTATCGTAAAAATATTAAATTGATACGAACATAACGAGTCACTTGTTTCATCTGATTTCGGTGTTGAGATTTTAACTAGAAATGTGAAAGAATTGCAAGCATGAAAGANCTGTTGTTTCATTTCCTTCCCCATGACTCATCTATTATCGCATTCTCGTCAGCCAAACCATCCCCATCCTTATAATCTATCACCAAGTTATGTTTTCAATAACTTCATCACATACCATTCTTTGTTTCATCTATAGCAAAGCTTTATTGCGATTCGTTCAGGAAACTCATTCCGGAAAGTATTGTTGTCATTTTGCCCGATAAAGATCTGAAATGCGCATTGGTATTTCTAGACTATGCATCATCACATACTTTGCTTCTTCAGTTTTACAATCCCAAAATATCATTACAATGCACAAACATGATACATCATCGGATGAACACCATTTCTCAGACAACCCTTTCTATCATCATTTTTCCACCGATTTTTGAATCGTTCCAAAACCTGATTCCTATCATCATCATCGTTTCAATGAACATACTCAATCGTAAACAACCAATCAAGCTCTATGCCAACTGCACAAGTTCAGAGAATGAAGATTCACAAATGATATCATCAACCAATTAATGACTTCTGCAATTAACCACCCGTCTGTCACTCCTACCAGCCAATTCATCATCCCATTTTTTGATTCAATTACGTCATCTGCAGGAACGCACAATAAATTTCTTTTTCTTTCCTCATATATCAGCTACTTACCGTATGTCGTACAGATTTTTGATTCGAACAGACAATATATCGGACACAGTTGATTAATAGTATGGAATTGATAAGAAAACTCGTTTTCAACTCATAATAAACGGAGTTTTTCAAAATGGCGACCTCAGCACTCAGCCACTGCTCATCTCTTTTCAGGGATTTATTGATTATTCTTTATTCCAATGTACAATAAGAGCAGCACAGTTTTGCACTCAGAATTCACCAGCATGAAATAATTCGATGTGAAATTTGAAATTCTTAATTCTTATCGAAAATCATTGATGAGGCGTTTCATCAATGATTTTCCGACAAAAGCGACATCAGTGATTTTGAAGCGTTTCATCAATGCTTTTCAACGCAACGTTGAGGTGCTTCAAAAGGATTAGATGAATTAGTTGTAAGGCATCGCACATGGGCATTAGTACAGCAATAGTTGATTATGTCAGTTTGAACATCTACTATCGCTGTTCAAACATCGCAGAATATGAATCATTATCCATCCAATGATAGCATTCCGTTATTACTGTTGCAAAAAGGATCAGTTGCGCGATTGACCTGTCACGAAGCAGATCAACTTAACTTGTTGCGTTCCATGCATCATTCATGAAAGCTACTAACACAAAGTAATACATAAAAGCACGCAAAAATAACGCTATTAAGGTGAATTCGGCGCGTCCGCTTATGTATCGGCATCAGCAGCACTCTCGGCCATATTTGACACTGGAATCGCCTTAACGTCTATAAAAGTAAATTGCACGTTTATTTTATTGTCAGCCTTATTTCTGGTATATTTAATGTTGCTATTATCATTTTGTTATTATCATTATTAATACTGTTCATATTATTGCTATTATTATTATTATTATTATTATTATTATTATTATTATTATTATTATTATTATTATTA